AAGTTTGTTTTGAGAGAGAGAGGGAGCATGAGGGCAAGGGCTCAAGCAGACGAGGGGCAGAGAAAGAGGGAGCGAGAGAGAATCCTGAGCAGGCTCCGCACTGTCAGCACAGAGCCCAACACAGGCCTCGAACCCACGAACTGTGAGATCATGACCTGAGTCTTGTCTGCACTTTGTTTGACTCCGCCTCCGGATAAGGCCCACACGCTGTGACTGATTACTATGATGCAAGTATTTTTTTAAGTTTATTTTATTTTTGAGAGAGAGAGAGAGAGCACATGCTTGAGTGCCGGTGGGGGAGGACCAGAGAGAGGGAGACAGAGAATCCGAAGCAGGCTCTGAGCTGTCAGCACAGAGCCAGAGATGGGGCTCGAACCCACGAACTGAACCATGAGATCATGACCAGAGCTGAAGCTGGACGCTTTCACTGACTGAGCCACCCAGGTGCCCCTATGCAAGTATTTTTAATTTTCTTAATTTTTTAATTCTATTAAGCTTTATTTACAACAAATTTTTTATGCCTGTTTATTTTTGAGATGGAGAGAGAAAGAGGGTGAGCGGGGGAGGGGCAGAGAGAGAGAGAGAGAGAGAGAGAGAGAGGGAGACACCGAATCCGAAGCAGGCTCCAGTCTCCGAGCTGTCAGCACAGAGTCGGACGCGGGGCTTGAACCCACAAACCGTGAGATCGTGACCTGAGCCGAAGTCGGACGCTTAACCGACGGAGCCACCTGGGGTGCATCGCAAGTATTTTTTAAAATGTGTTACTGAAGTGCACAAAAGAGTGCGAGCCATGTGTACAGAGCTCGCTGGTGTTTCACAAAGACAACATACCCGTGGCACCAGCACCTAAGTCCAGAAATAAGACTCCTCCGGAGCTGGCTGTCAGCCCCATGCCCCCTGCCTGGCGCCATAAATAGAACCGTGAGGACATCAAGGACGCTGAGATATGATAACAAGGCTCCACACAGGATTTCCACAACGCCTTTGACATGCCTGGCTGGGTTTTAATGTTCCCATCAATCCCAGGGTGAGCCTCCAAAGGCTCAGAGAGGTGGAATGACTTCCCCGAGGTCACACAGCCAACGCGTCAGAGCTAGACTCGGGCCCATCTCCTTTGGCGCCGAAACCAAAACTCTGACTTGATTATCTCGGGATCGATCGCTCTCCTGATTACATTCTCCATTGTCTCCCAACCACCGGTCTCTGAGCTGCCCCTTGACCCCGGCTTGACCTCCGACCTGCAGACTCCGAGATTCCTGACTCTGTGGCTATCCCAGCTCGTTCCCAAGACGTGTCTCCGAGTTAAAAAGATCTCTGTTGCCTGCTTCCTGTTTCTGCTTTCCCAAGGTCATGGGGGCTAACTCTGACCTCACCCCCTGCCCTCCAGGTGGTGGTAAATGGAAATCCCTTCTATGAGTTTGGGCACCGGCTGCCCCTGCAGATGGTCACCCACCTGCAAGTGGATGGGGACCTGGAGCTTCAATCAATCAATTTCATTGGCGGCAACCCCCCGCCAAGCCAGGTGGGTGGCGTCTCCTCACTTATGTGCCTGCTTCCTTCCTTAATTCATTCCCTTACTCCTTTATTTCCCCGAGCACCTGCTCCGTGCCAGGCCCTTCGCTGGGTGAGCCACAGACTCAGAGGCAACTAAGACAATCCACTGGGAAGACATTTCCCCAGGCAGTGTTGGCTCTAAGCGGTCAAGGCTGGGGTGGGAGACAGGAGGTTTGGGGAGTCCGAGGGGAAGGCTTCCGGGAGGAGGAGGAAGTCCGTCAGCTGAGTCAAGGAGCAAAGATAAGGAGGAACAAAAGCCACGGGGAATAGTAGGCGAGTCCATGAGAAGTTGCCCAACATTGCTAGTCACCGGAGAGAAACTCACTTCAAGTCACAATGAGCTACCCCCCCCTCCCCCCCAACGAGAAGAGCTATTGAGGGAAAGGCACACA